TGTTTTTGACCATTTATATTTTCTCTATCTCAAAGGAATAGAATTTAGAATGTACTTCTTGACTTAACATTTACATTGAACTTAAAACATTTAACTTTCAGAGCATCTATAGACATACCATAAGGCATTATGTATTTTTAATATTATTTTCTTGAAAAATTTGCTATGCTTATGCTTTTGTGTACACAAAATAAAAAACAGTTTTCTTTACTAACAAATGAAAAAGTATTTTGAAAATTCAAAGTAACTTTTTAAATATTACTGAAATAAGTTTTTTTAAATATAGAAAGTTTAAAAAGTAAAAATAATATCATATTCTGATAATTTTATTACACTGAAATAACAACTGCTAATATCAAACATTGTTCCCAATTTATTTTTACAAACATCATTGTCTTGTAACACCATAGCTAAACATTGGCTCACAAATATATATTTTTCTATTTGAATATATTTTAAAGTATAATTGCTGAATCAAAGGAAATACATGTATTTTATGCTATTGATAAGTCTTCCCAAATTTCTATTTGAGAATATTGTGTCATTTTCATATGATTATATTATAATTCTTTGTAATTTGGGTAATATTCCAAATCTAGATAAATTTTTACAATCAGAATGTTGCTTTCTCTACAGAATCATTCCCAGATTACATAATTTTACTTATAATGTTTTGGTTCAAAATTGCTATGTATTTCCTGATTGAAAAATGTTATAGAAACATAAGTAGAAATATTTTTGATATTTCTCTTAGCAGTACTTTTTTTTTATCTATCTCCTTGGGCAAAATAAACAAAATAAAAATAAACAAATGGGAATGCATAAACTAAAAAGTTTTTGCAAAACAAAGGAAACCATCAACAAAATGAAAAGACAATCTACTGAGTAGAAGAAGATATTTGTCAATGATACATCCAATAAAGGTTTAATATCCAAAATTTATAAAGACCTGATACAACTCAACAGCAATAAAACAGACATCCAAATTAAAAATGGGTGAAGGACCTGAACACATCTCTTTAAAGAACACTAATGGCCAATAGACATATGAAAAGATGCTCAATGTCAGTAAGCAACAGAGAAATGCAAATTAAAACCACAATGAGCTATCACCTCATATCTGTCAAAATGACTATCATCAATAAGTCAACAAAAGTGCTGGTGAGGATGTGGAGAAAAGGGAACCCTCATACACTGTTGATGGGAATGCAGATTGGTACAGCCACTATAAAAATACTATGAAGGTTGCTAAAAAAAAAATTAAAATGAAACTGCTTTTTGACTCAGTGATTCCACTTCTGGGTATATGTGTGAATAAACCCAAACTCAAAAGAACATATGCACTCCTATATTCAATGTGGCATTATTTACAATAGCCAAGATATGGAAGCAATCCTAGTGTCCATCTATAGATGAATGGATAATAAACCAGTGGTACATATATACAATGGAATATTACTCAACCATAACAAAGAATGAAATTTTATTTTATCAACAGTATGGATAGACCTAGAGGGTATTAGGCTAAGTTATATAATTTAGACAGAGAAAGACAAATACTATATGATTTCACTTATATGTCCAATCTAGATAAATAACAGATAAATAAAATTGAAACAAATTCATAAATACAGAGAACAGACTGATGGTTGATAGAGGGTTTGAGAGTTGGGGGATTGAAGGAAGAGATTAAGAAGTACAAATTGGTAGTTACAAATAGTCACAGGGATATAAAGTACCACATAAGGAAGATAGTCAGTAATATTGTAATAATCGTGTATGATGCCTGTGAGTACTGGAATTATTGAAGGAAACACGTTGTAAAGTACATGATTGTCTAACTACTGTGCTACTATGCTATATACTTGAAACTGATAGAGAATGATATTGAATGTAAACTACAATTAAAAAGTAAAATTTAGCCCTAACTGGTTTTGCTCAGTGGTTAGAGCATCGACCTGTGGACTGAAAGGTCCCAGGTTCGATTCCGGTCAAGGGCATGTACCTTGGTTGCGGGCACCTCCCCAGTGGAAGGTTTGCAGGAGGCAACTGATCGATGTTTCTCTCTCATCAATGTTTCTAACTCTATATCCCTCTCCCTTCCTCTCTGTAAAAAAAATCAATAAAACATATTTTTTTAAAAAAAAGTAAATTTTAAACAAAAAGAAGAATGTAAATTATGGGTCTATAAATAAATTTTTGACCCATAAATACAAATTTGAAAGTGACACTATTCTAGAATTGGCATCACAAATGAAAAGAATAGATGATTTAATATATGGTGTGGCATACAATAATAGTGTTTACCAATATCCAGTTCTCCGTTTTTGGTTACTTTGCAGATTACTCTTGCCCACACCCTTGCAGTTAGAAGTTGTGATGTGACCAGTAATTACAGCCAATGCACTGTGACTAGAAGACCATGAGCTCTCTATATAGAAAAAATAAAATAAAATTCTTCCATCACCTCATAAAAGACACAAAGATAAATTCCAGGTGTATTGAAAATCTATCCATAAAAAACAAATTCAAAAGATAATAAAAGACATTTTCCATGCAACATTAAAAATGATAGGATTTTTAAAACATTGTATAAAACAATCGCACATTTGTGAAATAAATTTGAATAAAAAATATGATACTGCAAAAAATCATACCAAGAAAAGGAAAATATAAGAAATAGTTGAGAAAAATATTTAGATATTTTTAATATAAGCCAGTGATTCTCAACCTTCCTAATGCCGCTAACCTTTAATACAGTTCCTCATGTTGTGGTGACCCCCAATTGCATTGTTACAAATTGAACATAATTAAAGCATAGTGATTAATCACAAAATATAATATGTAATTATATATGTGTTTTCCGATGGTCTTAGGTGACCCTTGTGAAAGGGTCGTTCGACCCCCTACACTCCTACACATCAACTCCTACACATCAACAAGAAAAATAGAAATAACCCTGGAAAAAAATATGGCTAAAAGAAATGCACAAAAATTCTTTATAATATTATTTTTTAAATTCTTCAATTCTCTACCTTTCTTAAGCCTTTCCCTTTATTTCTAATGATATTTTTTATAATTTGTAAGGATCCATAAATTATTTACTGCATTAATTCAACAAAGAGATGTTGATTGCCAGCTATGTCCTTGATATTGTTCTAAATGTTTGGGGTACAGGCCTTAATTCGCATCCTGAAGTTCTTTATGTACATAAATACTTCATTCTAAAGATGAACCCAGGGAAACCCAGCACACAACTCAAAGTGGCACAATTTCCAGAATATGCTTAGTTTTAGACCAAATGATTCAACTATTCTTTTGATCATTTCAGATATTTTATATATTTTTTTAAAATGATCATTAATCTAAATGCATCTGTGGTTGGAGGATAGAAGAGTGAAATAGAAGACATAGAAGAGTAAAATGAAAAAATATTAGGTCTCTACTAATCTTGTTGACTTTAATTTTGCCTTTTTGCAGCTTATAAATTACTAGAGGCCTGGTGCATGAAATTTGTGCACTGGGGTGAGGGGGGTTAACCTCAGCCCAGCCTGAACCCTCTCCAATCTGGGACATCCCTCTCACAAGCCAGGACTGCTGGCTCCCAACCGCTCATCTGCCTGCCAGCCTGATCACCCCCTAACCACTCTTCTGCCAGCCTGATTGATGCCTAACTGCTCCCCTGCCAGCCAGATCGCCCCAATGTTCCTCCCCTGCTGGCCAGGTTGCCCCAACTCCCCTCCCCTGCTGGCCCAGTCGTCCCTAACTGCCCTCCCCTGCAGGCATGGTCCCCACTAACTGCCCTCCCTTCCCTGCAGGCCCGGTCACCCCTAACTGCCCTCCCCTGCCAGCTGAATCACCCCTAACTGCCCTCCCCTGCTGGCCTGATCTCTCACAGCTGGCCTCCCCTGCTGGCCATCTTGTGGCTATGGGCACTGCCATCTTTGAGGGTGGGGCAGTCAATTATCATATTCCCTCCTTATTGGCTATGAGTGCCACCATCTTTGTGATGGTGTGAGGGTCAATTAGCATATTCCTTCTTTATTAGCTAGGATTATAAACAGCCACACTTCTAGTTAAAATTAGATCAAGTGGGGCAATGCAGATGTAATACTCTAGGATCTACTCTGATTTAACAAAAATTATTGGAAAAATAAAAATTGTAACTCAGTTCTCAAATATATGTTGGTACTTATGCCCAAAACTTAACCTCCATTATCACTTCTCTTTCCTTTCTCCAGATTTACACCCAATAGCTCCTTTCAGTGCATCTTCAATGCATCTGGGATAAAAATTAGGCTCATAATTTTCTGGTTTCTTTCATTTTCATTAAATTATATTATGGGGAGAGGGATATTACTTAAATGTTATATCTCACTAATGAAAGTTGATTTTCATTAAATTATATTATGGGGAGAGGGATATTACTTAAATGTTATATCTCACTAATGAAAGTTGATATATCAGTTTTTCTCTTTTGAGTTCTGTTTCTCATTATGGACTTTTTGCAATGTATTAAGGACTTTATGGACTTTATGCAATGTATTAAGAATATCTATTCCAATCTTATGTGTGAAAGGGTGATAATTTATAAAGTTCTGGCTCTTAATATATATGGTAAAGAAATACTTTCAACCAAATTAATTGTTAGTAATTATGTGCCTCTTTTCTACAGGAGAGAATGTTTAAATTTCATCAAGTGAAACATATTTTTGAAATTCTGGATAAAATGAGATGCCTGAGAAAACGTTCTACAGTGTCATTCTTGGGAGTTCTTGTAATTTTTCTTCTATTTATGAATTTGTACATTGAAGATAGCTATGTTCTGGTAAGTTTTGGAAGTTGTTTGTTTGTTTGTTTGTTTGTTTGTTTAAAACAATGCCTAAATTAACTAGACTTAGTTCATTAGTAACCTAACTTCAATTCTAGGCTGTTAGAATAGCCTTATAACATATATTATCTACCTATTTACTATTTTGTATGAACTTTATAGTACCAACTTCACAATTGTTTTATGTTGCAGTTTTTCCTTTATTGCTATATGTATATATTATGATTCAAATATCCTATATAATAAAGAGTAATATACAAGTTGGCCATCACTCCAACACACAAGATGGCCATCCCCATGTGGACACAAGATGACTGCCACAAGATGGCCAGCAGGGGAAGGAAGTTGTGGGCAATCAGGCCAGTAGGAGAGGGCAGTTGGGAGGGACCAGGCCTGAAAGGGAGGGTAGTTGGGGGCGATCAAGCCTGCAGGGGAGGGAAGTTGGGGGGACCCAGGTTTGCAGGCAAGAGGAGTCAGGGGGACCAGCCCTGCAGGGGAGGGCAGTTAGGGGCAATTGGGCAGCAGGAGAGTAGTTAGGCCTCGATCAGGCTGGCAGAGGAGTGGTTAGGGGGTGATCAGGCTGGCAGGCAGGTGAGCGGTTGGGAGTCAGCAGTCCTGGCTTGTGAGAGGGATGTCCCAGATTGGAGAGGGTGCAGGCTGGGCTGAGGGACACCCCCCCATGCACGAATTTCATGCACCAGGTCTCTAGTGTATATATAATTACAAATAAGTTAGCTATTATCACTGTGCTGAATTAATCTTATGTAAAATCATTTCAGTATTTGAGCTTTAATTTGAAATATATAGAACAAACAAAATTTGATTAATGTTATTACACCTTACTTCCACTATTTTCTGTATTGTCCAAATTGAAAAATTTCATTGTCTAACTAATGATACTAATTATGCCATGTTGCTAAGAAGTAATATTATATTATAATATGTGACACCTCATTTAGATTTTATAAAAGGCTAGTGTTTTATATATTTATATTCACTAAAAAGTAATATAGAACCTCAAAAACTAAAGGTATTTATGTTAAGTTATTCAGTAGTTTATAAAAGATAAAATTAATGCATAATATATAAATTAATTTTAAGTGAATTATGGAAATATTCAAAAGGACTGATTCTGGCTAATGGTAAGAATTTAAATTGTTACTGTAATTATCACATCATATCATGTGTGATGAGAATAACATGGACATTATTGCTTATTCACATTTTCTATCTGAGCTGAGGTTAAGATATCTAGAAAAATCTTAATTTTAATTTTATCATTCCTGTTCACACATTTTATTTTATTTTTTATATGTAATTATTGATTTCAGAGAGGAAGGGGGAGAGAGAGAGAGAGAGATCAATAATGAGAGAAAATCATTGATTGGCTACCTCCTGCACAACCCCTACTGAGGATCAAGCCCACAACCTAAGCCTGTTTGTGCCCTTGACCAGAATTGAACCTGAGACTGCAGACCGACACTCTATCCACTGAGCCAAACCAGGGCCTGCTCACATATTTTAGAAAATAAAACCCTTTGGACACACAGAGGACTGAAAAGTACTTTCCATCATGCAAGCACCCTGAAAGTTTGAATTAATACTTAGCAAGAGAAAATCTGAAAATAACCACAAAGTGTGTTTCCCAATAAAATGTTTTATTTCATCAAATAAACATGATTTATTAACTATCTACTATATACTATTCGATTTCCTATGAGACAACTGTATGACCTTGGTACTTGGATCTTCTTAGAAGGCCTTCCCTAAGGCATTTTGCTTCATTTAGCATTTTTCTTTAATGGTGAAATTCTGCCAGATGCCTGTATCTTGACTCTACTAGGCCTTTAACCTTCAAGTATAGGTCTTGATCTCTTGGACCCTTCCTTCTACCATCCACAGTCAATTCACAATGGCTAAAATCACCACACACTAATACAGTTTGACTAAGCTTGATTTAGGTAAACAGAGCACTGGAGGAACTTCTAATGATAATCATTTTGGTTTTCTGAAAAACCTGATTACTAGGTTTATGAGATATAAGGACAATAGTACAAGGCTCATGTGATCCAGCATTTTTAAATAAAATTAAAGATTATAAATTGACTAGAGGAGCTCTTGATGAATTATTTAATTCTGAAGTAAAAATGTTATTTATTGCATCTGTGTCCACTGGTAGAAGGGAATCACATCTTGTAAGTCAAACACATGGTATTGGCAGGATGCTTATAGCCAATGATTTGCTGCATTTATGAGACACTTTCAAGTGCAATATTAATGTTTCACTTTAAACAGACAAAAGGTCATTGTGTACATTTTTATAACATCTTTATATATTTTTGGAATAAAACCTCTTTAAATTCAGAAAATTTAAATGCCCAAGGAGTAATAGACTATATGTCCATAAGAAGATCAAATACTACAGCCCTGTTTTGTAAAATTTTACATGTTCATGTCTAAACATAGGTCCCAGCCACCTAAGGTAAAAGGTCTGAGTTAATGATGTAGCTCTTGAAGATCACTTTCTCAATGAATTTTTCTCTGGCTATATTAAGCATATAGCTATATAGTCAAAGTAGCAAATCAGCCCACTTATAGAGAAGAAATTACTTTTTATCTTTAAAACCTGAAATTATTCTTAACTATATTAACTTGGAAAGGGAATTAAAATGATTTTTAAGTACAACAACCCCCAATATTGAAAATTCAATGAAAGCATTTTTATTAGTTTAATTTTTCACTATTTACTAGATGATATTCTCTACCTAATTTATATTTTGAGCTACCTTTTATCCCAGTGCTTAATATGTATAAATATTTTAAACACTTTTAAATCATTAATATAACATTATGTTAAAATTATTCTTCCAAAAATGTTTAATATTCTTAGAAAACTAGTCCTGTACTACAATACAATGCAGTTTCTTTTTCACAGTTCTCCCTCTTGACCCTTTTATCTGTGCTTATTTCATTTTCATAAAATTATCCGACTTGATTTTCTTTCTTGACTCCAAAATGCCACAATGGGTACTATTTTCTAAGCTTAGGCATGAGTCAGTCTTTCTTTTTCTGCCTTTCTTATTTCAGGGAAAATAAAAGTTCTAATTCGGAGAATTCAGACAATTAGAAGTAGTAAGGTCTCTGGAGTTACTTAGCAACTTTCTGCTCTTTTGCTAGAAAATGCATTGGTGGCCTGAAATCCTAGGCATATAATAGTTTGGTGTTTTGCTTACATATTAAGGATATAGTGCCTTTCAGCAGGAAAGGAAGCCAAGCTCAGTATATGAGAGCCAAATAGTATTACAAGGCAAACTAAGTAGAAGAGACACTACACGCCCAATCAACCTAGCTTCTGGGCTGTGAGCATCTTCAAAGTAGCCGATAGGGTATATATTTAGCCTGTAGTTAGTCCACTGAATTTCATTCCCATCCAGAAAATGATTGTCATAAAGTTTGTCTTATTCCTGAGAAATACACTATAGCTTAGTAGTTACAGAAAGACGGTATCTAGGGGATTCTTGCTGTTCAGGTATAAGCCTCTGGAAAGCAGTCAACAAGGCTGACTCAGGTGAAAGTTGCATTATTTATTTATGCTGAAAAGTGCAAAGCTTAGTCTTCAGAATTTAATAAAGTTATTTTATATACATTCCATTTTTATTTCCTGTTCTGTTATGTCCTTCAATCAAGATGAATTTTATCTTATCACAGAAAAATCTGCATTTTTACATATTGAAGATAGAATTCTTAAAGTGATACTCAGTATCCTGCTCTTCCTTTAGAATGTGACATCACCTAAGAACAGAATGGTAAAATGAATTTAGTATTGTGACTACTGTAACTTTTATAGCTATATCTTCTAGATCTTATTGACTATGGATACCATTACATTGTTATTAAAGTAGTTGTTGCTAAATTGAATTCCAGTTGCTATTTGGCAATTCAAATTTATTTTAAAACTTTAATGATGTTCTATAACAGGAGAAGGGAACTTTTTTTCCTGCCAACGTCCATTTGGATACTTATAACATCATTCGTGGGCCATACAAAATTATCAACTTAAACATTAGCCTGCTGTATTTGGTCAAATATTTAATTAACTCACCTTTGATGCCTTGGCAGGGCCAGACCAAATAATTTCACAGGCCTCGTATGGCCCATGGACCATAAGTTCTCACCCCTGTTTTATAGGTTTTCAGAAAGACACAGATTAAAATATTTAGATGTAAAAAAAAATTTAAATAATCAGATTCAATGGAATTTTAATTAGTATATTTATAAGAAATCTAGCACCCAACGTTTAATTTTATATATTTTGAAAGTTTAACTTACAGTTGGCAAACACATTATAAATTTTGTAATAGACTAAAGTATTTTTCTTTGTCAAAACTGTCAAGGCAATATAAAATACAGAAAAAGAGTGTTAAACACCAAATATCAGTTCATAAACAGAACTGAATATACAGAAAATATCATCAGAATGAATCTTGGTTTAGCAAGAACCAGATTGAAAGCTCTTCCCTGTCATGGTATATGATTCTCAACTTTAATTTTAAACAAATTCCAGTCTGGCCATAGTTTTAAAAGTTTGGTGGATCACCTTTGCTATTGACATTTGAATTTGATACAAAATAGTAAATGATCCAATTGAGGTAAAATTTGTATTTTAATTCTTACTAATCTTTTAAAACTAGGTTTTAGTGAAAGTTTTATTGACCACAGCCAAATAATAGGAAAACCAAATCAATTTAATGCCTTCACTTTCTCTTTAATGGCTTGCACATACCTGACTTGCCATTCTACTTCAAATAGTTTAAATAGGGCTACATAACATCACACAGTACAGCATATATCTTGCTCTCCAAATATTTTTCTAATTAGGTTGCCCCCAAACATATTCCATGTGTTGTAAACTATATAGAAAAGCCATGCAAGTTGTCATTTTGCTAATAATGTATAAGCAATAGTCTTGATCAACTGGTGATTACTAGTAGAGAAATTGAAATATACAATAAATTTATATTAAAGAAAAGAGAAAAAAGAAGCTATAAATGATAACAGGGTGTGTATTTTAGACAAATAAGAATATATTTTCTTACTCTAGATGGTTTGGCTCAGTAGATAGAGGGTTAATATGATTCAAATGGGGAATTTAGTGGAAATTAGTTTTGCATGAAACTGTAAAATCAACTAAAGTCAAATTTTAAGATCCTGTAATTATTGTAAAGAATTTTAATTTTAACATGAAGGCAGTGAGAGTTTTCATGTAGATATTTGTATCAATAGTGCCATTATTAATGTATGCTATAGAAAAGCAAATGTAACTGTAGTATAACTAGTAGACTAGAGTAGAGAGAGCCTGGAGCAGAGACTCTAGGTAGGAATTCAGGTGAGAAATCATGACCTACAGAGGTGCCAGTAATTGAGATTTATATGACATGCATATTACATATCAGGAGAAACTTTTTAAAGCCATGACCATCTATTATTCATTTATTTCCTCTGCCTCTTTCTTGGCATCCAGGAAGGAGACAAACAGCTTATAAGGGAAACATCCACACATCAACTGAATTCAGAACGCTATGTGCATACTTTCAAAGATTTATCTAATTTCTCAGGGGCCATCAATGTCACCTATCGCTACTTAGCTTCCACTCCTTTGCAAAGAAAGCGTAAGTATCCTTACATTTTTAAATAAAGAATATATAAAATATTTTATTTAAAAATAATGATGATTTGCTTCATTTGTATGGCAATAAAAGTTTATAGAATTTACTAACATAATACATTTTTGGGAAATTGTTCAATTTTTCCTCAGAAATTACAATTACTCACTGATCCAATTCTATTAATAAAACAAATTTTTTTTAATGCCTCACTGTAGGACCATGTAGAGATACTAGGAAAAATCAAGGTTTTTTTTTTTTAATTTTACTTATTTATTTTATTTACACCTTTTAATTTTTATTGTTATTTAGTTTTTTATTAAATTTATTGGGGTGGTATTGGTTCACAAAATCATATAGGATTCAAGGGTACAACTCAACAGAACATCTGCACACTGCATCCTGTGCCCATCACCCCAAGCAAAGTCTTTATATTAAATTTTAAACATTGTCTTTAAGAAATAACTATTCCCATATTGATATTCCCATATTTCAAACTTTAATGGTTTGGTTTTTGTAACTTGCCACTAGTTTTGAATTAGTGAAAATCATTGTATCTGTTTCCTAAGGTACTATGTAACAAATTATCACAAACTCAATGGCTTAAATAAAACAACAAAAATTTATTATCTCACAATTTTAGAGGCTTGTGGTAGCATAATCACAATCCCTGCCTTTATCTTCACATGGCCCTCTTCCTTTGTCTCTCTGTGTCTCTCTATAGCCTCTGCTTTCCTTATAAGGACACTAGTCATTGAATTTAGGGACCACTCTAAATACATTTAAGTTCATCACAAGAGCCTTAACTAACTACATCTGCAAACATTCTACTTCCAAATATGGTCACACTCTGACGTTCCAGGGAGACATGAAATTTTTGAGGAAACTATTCAGCTTACTTCAGGCAATTTGAATCCATGAAGTAACATACTACATTTCATTGATTTCAAGATATCATGGATTACAGAAAGTATCATGGTCTAATTACTGCACCACTAAGAAAATATAAGTATCAGTTTTAATTGTAAGATGCCCGGCAAGTGTGGCTCAGCGGTTGAGCATCGACCTATGAACCAGAAAATCATGGTTCAATTCCAGGCAGGACACATGCCCAGGTTGCAGGCTGGATCCCCAGCGTGGGGCATGCAGGAGGGAGCCGATCAATGACTCTCACCACTGATGTTTCTTTGCCTCTCCCTTCTCTCTGAAATCAATAAAAATATTTTTTAAAAAATAATAAAATAAAATAATTGTAAGATGTCATCAATCATAACATGCAACCAGATTTTAAAGTATTTCTGTATGAAAAATGTGAATTTTAGATTCAATGAAATACAGTGATAGCATGAACTTCTTAATAGGTTGCGTGGAGACCACAAAAATTTAGTGTTTTGATCAGAAGTGTTTATACAAGTGAATTTGTGATCACCAGGTGAGGAAATTGTAACTTAACTCAGATTTCTTTAGGTCTTTTATTCATTCTACTATTTCAAATATCTACTGATCTTAAGCTTCCGTCCAATTGCATAAAACTGCCACTATTTTGTGATCTACATTTGTTTCACCACCTTTGTTCAAATATTGCTCATTTCCCTTTATCCAGGCTAAGTTTACTAATGTATATTAACACACATGTCAAATGCTTTATACTAAGGAGGCCATAGAAAACAGAGAAATAAGGGCAAAACAGTTTGAATCTTGCCACTATTCCACTTACTAAGCATTGCACTTTGCAAAGCTACCTAATCTCACTGTCATTTAGTTTCCTCAGCTATAAAGCAGGAATGATACACACAAAGCTATCCCAAAAGACTGTTATGAATATTAAGATGCATATTTCTAGTAAACTGCATAGACTTCTGTCATTTATGTAGAGTGTGTTCTATAAGTATTGCCAATATTGAGCATTACTAAAGGCTGATAGTTTTAGTTTAATGGTACAGATAACATATAGGGTTTTCAGTAGAAGTCAGGGTTGTAACTCAGGTATTTAAACAAAATGTGTAAATCTCTCCCTCTCTGACAGATGAGTAAGAAATATTTTTTTCTGGGAAGGGCTTTTTTCAATATTGTGTAAATTACATTATGTAGGTGTCTGCATTAAAACAGTGATCTTGGTGAATGTAAACATTATCCTATTTTCCAAGTGGCGGTTCTGAAATTTTATTCGGTTCTCAGTCATGGTGAAAATGAAAACTTTAAAAAGTGAAAATATTTCAATAGAAAGACAGATAACACTTCTCAGAGGCAAACTGCCACTTCACCAGGTTTTATTTTATTCCTTAAAAATATCCGATTTCTCATTTTAGATTTAATTTTATCTGAATAAAAATTTTCCAGATAAAATTAACATAAAATGTGTTTCAAAATAGTAATATTCATGTCTTAGAACAATATGCCCTACATTTAAACTATAATGCAATTTTTCAAAATGAGCTTATACTATTGTTTGTATTCTAATTAACATACTGGATATATTTCAAAATAAAGTTTTGAAGTCTAATTATGAATTCTTCTGATATAAGATAATACTGTGATTAAAGAAAAATGAAAATATGTGTCCTATGGAAAATTTAAAACAATTAAAAGAATGAGTTACTCTTAATTTTCTTTTTCATAATTTGAGACTAGTTTGTCATGCTTAACTGTGAATTTCCTTCTTCTTTTGTAGTTTTTTTTTTAATAGTGTGGATATTATCTAAATATCTATCTTCTCTAATGGATATAATAAGAACATTAAGCTGCAAAACACTTTAAACCATATTTTTCATTTCACAAATGTTTGCAGCAATAGGACTCATATCATTGTGCTTAAGATGCAATTTTCCATAGAAAATATCAATTATGTATAAACTACTATAGTTTTTATGTGTTGAGCATAATATTTTAATCACAAAATGTTCTATACATAATCATTTCCTAGATTTACTAATATAGTAGCAGGCCTAAGGGGGAAATAACGTTTTGTTTCTTTTTATATGTTACTCGAAACCTATTTTACATTTAATTTGTCATCCTTCTGCATTCTTTGCTTAGGGTTTCTTACAATTGGACTTTCATCAGTGAAACGAAAAAAGGGAAACTATTTACTTGAGACAATCAAGTCCATTTTTGAGCAGTCCAGCTACGAAGAGCTGAAGGAGATCTCAGTGGTGGTTCATCTGGCAGACTTTAACTCATCCTGGCGTGAGGTCATGGTCCAGGATATTACACAAAAATTTGCCCACCATATTATTGCGGGAAGATTAGTAGTGATACATGCTCCAGAGGAATATTACCCCATCCTGGATGGTCTTAAAAGAAATTACAACGATCCGGAAGATAGAGTCAGATTTCGTTCCAAGCAAAATGTAGATTATGCTTTTCTGCTCAATTTTTGTGCCAATACGTCAGACTATTATGTGATGCTTGAAGATGACGTTCGATGTTCAAAAAATTTCTTAACTGCCATCAAGAAAGTCATTACATCCCTAGAAGGAACCTACTGGGTAACTCTTGAGTTCTCTAAGCTTGGTTACATTGGAAAACTTTATCATTCACATGATCTCCCACGTTTGGCACATTTTTTATTAATGTTTTATCAAGAAATGCCTTGTGACTGGCTATTGACTCATTTTCGGGGTCTGCTGGCTCAGAAAAATGTGATCCGTTTTAAACCATCTCTCTTTCAGCACATGGGTTATTATTCATCCTATAAAGGGACTGAGAATAAGCTGAAGGATGATGATTTTGAAGAGGAGTCATTTGACATCCCTGATAACCCTCCTGCAAGTCTATATACCAATATGAATGTTTTTGAAAATTATGATGCCAGCAAGGCTTACAGTAGTGTTGATGAATACTTTTGGGGGAAACCACCTTCCACAGGAGACACCTTTGTGATTGTTTTTGAAAATCCAATTGTAATTAAAAAAATTAAAGTGAGTACTGGAACAGAAGACCGGCAAAATGACATTTTACATCATGGAGCCCTAGATGTTGGGGAAAACGTTATACTTTTCAAACAAAGTAGACAATGTGATACTTACATAAGACTAGGGGAATTCAAAAATGGAAACTTTGAAATGTCAGATGTGAATCAAAAAATTCCTTTTGATATAAAGTGTATAAGGATATACATTACCAAAACACAAAAAGAGTGGCTGATTATTAGGAGTATTAGCATTTGGACTTCTTAGTCAATTAAATCAACATGTCCAGTAACTGAAACAGGTCTTCCTGTTTCCTTTTTTTGTTACCTTCCTCTTTGCTACCTTTGTCCTATGGAGGTAAAGCAACAGATGGGATATTTTAAAAGTAAGGTCAATCACCTTGGCAGTTTTGATTTACATATCATCATCATAATTTTACTTAAATATTCACTTGTATTTATTTCAACTTCTGAAGTTGAATATATAAGTTCACAGTTAATGCTTTCATTTATATTTTTAATGTTATGTTAATTTCAAAATTTCAACTGAATGTCAAAAAAGGCGGCATGAAGGATGTAAAAAGAGAAAATGTGGTTTATTGGATGGTAAGTCTTGAAAAATAGTTGCCAACTGTGTACATTTCCTCAAAATTTATAATTTATTATATCATCAGATAGCTTTTATTAAGAATCTCTGTGAATATGCAGTTGGTTAGAAAGATAATCTGCCTTTTTTTCTTGTAAATTTGTTTCCATAGACTCTTGTGCATCGATAATGAATACCTCCTCATAAAAATGATGTCTTTACAACAGAATTTTGTGTGTAGATGGGGCAATAGAAAGAAAAAAAAAACTACAAAATCTCTCTCCTGATTATTTATACAAAAGGGAACATTGGTAATTGAATAAAAACACTTAATCGGGCACCTATTATTAATAAATTTTCTGTGGGAAGCAGTCTTTTTCTAGTTTCCCTTTTGCAAAAAATAAATAGTTATGTCCAATATTTTCAGGTTACATTGGATTCCTGCACTTAATAGAAGAAATTAGAGAAGGCCTACAGTTAGTTCATTCCTATAAACATTTTCAGTATATACAGAAAATTTTTAAAATTGATTTTATATGTTTTATATTAAAAGTTGTATGATTGGAATCATATACTTTTGGGGTGTTTAAATCAACACCTTATAAAGAAGAAAAGTAAGAAACATAGAAATCAGTTGCCTTTTCTACACTCAGAGTGAGTTCATAGCAAAGCCAGAGTGAGAGATCAGATGTTCTGACATCCAGACAATGTCCTTTCCCTCGTGTGGAGATTGCTCCTCACACAATGTATGCTTTCTGTTCTCTGAAATATATGTTATGCTATCTGGAAAAGTTGGTATTATTTTTCCGTAAGTCCTATTACTGTTCTGTGGAGTACTCCTAAAGTGTCCTAAATGATACCATGTACCCAAATGGTAAGCAAACAACTAAATTTTGTTATAAGGATAATTGTGATTACACCATTTGTCCATTAAAGCAATTCAGGACACCTTAGTGCATCCTCAAACACTGTTGTTGTTGTTTTTAGAATATACTGAACTTGTCTCATCCTTTCTATTTTTGACAAACAGCAAAGATGAAAAATGATAAAAAATAAATGAAGAGTACTTTGTGTGTGGATATGTGTTTATGTGTGTGTGTGTGTGTGTGTGTGTGTGTGTGTGAAGATTAGACTTGTGATACTGAGAATGAAAGAGAAATTCTTGTTCTTCCTTTCATCTTGACACAAAATTTTTAGGACTCACTGGTATGCTACAGTACAAAAAAAATTAGGAATTATTTTACTCAGTCTATCTAAATTGATTAAATGAGAAACTCAGATAAACTATTGGAAAATATTTTTCTTTAGTCCATACAATAGATATTTATTTTTTGCACCCAGTTGCTATAATGTTAAAGAAAATATGAACCTGTAAATATTAATATCTTATAACACATCTAAGTCCTAAAGTCATAGAAAAGAAGAACATGGCCACTAAGCTATTATCGTTATATTGATTTGGAGAATACTTGCCACATAAAGATATTCTGTTTTCTTGGCTTGTCTTACCTGCTTTTATTAGCTGGCTAGTTGTTTAGTATTCTACAAGTATATAAGAAATTATAAGAAAAACTTTGTACTGCACTTTCAGTGATAAAAGGTATATGACAAAGGCATGCAGTATCAAGATGTAGGCAGACTCCATGAAGTGAGTGGTAAACATTTACATTTTCTTCTGAGAGTGATTTAAAAGACCAGCCATCTACACCACTTTTAGAAACTGCTTCAAGAAAGATTGCTGAGGATAACAGTGAAATTGGATGTTTGCTAGAGAATTATAAATGCAAATATAATCCAAAGAGGTTGCATTTAATCTTAAATTTGATCCTTTCATTACTGAAATCAGGTTTGAATTATCTGGTCAATCACTAAAGATTGTCTCCATGTTTCTCTATAGGTTGACTATAGGTCAGTGTTCTAAGGAAAAGACTTTGACAAAGAAAGTTTCTCCATTAAAGATCAGGGTGGCAAATAACCTTTCTCTTTCAAAAAGAAAATCTGAGCCAACATTTTTTATATGATTTAAAATTGTATTTTCTATGTTTAAAAATTCTGAATGTGGCTCCAATAATGTCTCAGGCATAGAGCAGAAAGACAGTTATTAGGTTTAATTATATTTAATATGCTTTTAAGTAAGCATTATGTGATCTCTTTCTTTGAAGTAAGATTTTTTTAAATACATTATTTTCTTTTTTATAAATATCCAATGAAAAGGACTGGAAAGTGACATGAATAGTTATTTAATTGCTATGAAAATAAGATACTCACAGGTTTCAAGCACAAACTATAGTATATAGGTCACATGATGTCTCAATTTGTATATTTTAAACTGACTAAAAGGTTTACTTATACTTAAAACTCTTCTTAAGGGAGCCATTTCAGCATTTATGGTCATCAAAGAAAAGCATCTTATAAAAGCACAATAAAAATTTGGAAATACACATTTTTGGAAAATACACATTTTATCAGCAAGAACGGGTATGGATATAAAAAGTGTTAATGCAAGCACTCTTGCATTCTCATTAAAAAAAACTATAACTGTGCAATTTATAAAGTAGATATTTTCCAGGTATAAAAATATAATGTGGAAATCTATGTGTCATTTAGAACCATTTCTGTCCTACAGCCACACTTATAAGACTGGGACATTTCATTTCTTACTGAGCCAGTATTCTTTGGGAATTTTTATAAAGCTCTCATGGAAAAACTATGCTGTACAATAATGGTATATATACAAAAACAAACATATCACTCAACATTTGTCAGTTTGTCAACATGTGTTTTGAACATGGCACCCAGGATTAAAATTGAAAACATTATTCTCAATGTCCTCTAACAACTGAAAATAACAGTCTAATTATCTTCTTTTTTCTTATCTATATATTTATTTAATGCAGTCTAAAATTACATTTATTTTTATCACCATACCACTGACTAATAGAACCCATGCCAAACATTATGATATTAGTTAGTTATATGATCTATGTATACATGTTTCATTTTTGAAGTTTTCATTTAATACTCAATATTAACTTTAAGAGAATTTCATCTTGTTTCTTCTGACCCACAATCCCCACTTTCTAGCTCTTGATTCTATCATTTACTACTTTACATAGCTCCCCAGTTTTCTGTTACCACAGATTTGATATTGTATACCTTTGTCTTCATAGGAGATACAATGGAAGGAGTAGGCAGACATGAGTTTGAAGCACAGGTCTTCAATTACTAGCCTTCAGATATGAAAAAAAAGTTATTTAGCCACTTGGAAATTCAGTTCCCTCATCTGTGAAATTGGAATAATTTTACCTGTGGAGGCTGTTAGGGCTAGACCTGGGATAAGCTCAGCAAGCAATGCTACGCTATGTATCTGTAAAAAGATATTGCCCTTTAAAACACGACCAGAGACCTCTATCCTGATCGAAAAAGTCATAAACTTTACTAACCACTGGAAATGTCATCCAGCCAATGTTCTTCTCTTTTGTTCAAAAGAATGCCATGTAGCCTAGCCGGCATGGCTCAGTGGTTGAGCATCAAGCTAAGAGCCAAGATCTTAGGTTGATGCTCAGTAGATGTGAGAGAAACACATCTATCGGTTGCTCCTGCGAGAGCCCTGATTTGATCGATTCATGGATCAGGGATCATGCCCTGGTTGTGGGCTTGATCTTCACTGGGGGGCAGGAAAGAGGCAGCCGATCAATGATTCCTTTCATCATTGATATTTCTATCTCCCTTCCTCTCTGAAATCAATAAAAATATATTTTAAAAAAGAATGTCATGTAGAATTATGGAAATGCCTTCCCAAATTAAAATATATTCTTTGCATTTTATTACTCCAGAAATCTTTTCCAAAATTTGTAACATTTATTGCTAATGTTAACATTGTAAATATTAATGATTTTATATATATATATATGTGGGTATATGTGACAATATTTCATGTATATGTATTTGTGTTATGAGAGAGAACCTGTAGCACGACTATTTTATCTTCCACACCTCAACTTATTCTTGTCTTTAGCTTTCTGGTTGTGTTCCCCCTAACCTGGCTTTTAGTTACATGTCCTTGCTCAAATACATGACATCCTCTGAAAATCCTATCTCATTAGAAAATCATATCTCTATTAGTGGCCCAGTGCACAAAATTTGTGCATGGGGGAGGTGGGTTCCCTCAGCCCAGCCTGCACCCTCTCCAATCAGGGACCCCTTGGGACCACTCACAAGCTGGGACTGCTGGCTCCTAACTGCTCACCTGCCTGCCTGCCTGATTGCCCCTAACTGCCTCTGCCTGCCTGCCTGATTGCCCCTAACCCCACTGCCTGCCTGCCAATTCTCCCCTAACCTCTCTGCCTGCCTGCCTGCCTAGTCATCCCTAACTGCCCTCCCCTGCCGGCCTGATCTTGTCCCAAATGGCCCTCCACTGCTGGCCTGGTTGCCCCCAACTGCCCTTCCCTGCCGGCCTGATCACCCCTAACTGCCTCTGCCTCAACCCCCACCACCATGGCTTTTTCCAGAAGGAAGTCAGATGTCTGGAAGATGGCTGGTCGACCCGGTCTAATTAGCATATTACCCTTTTATTAGTATAGATAGATTATATAGGATAGGATTGCTTAAATGGGGGGGGGGGGAGTCTTTTTCAGCAGGAGGAGATGCTCTTGGCAGACAAAAACACATAATCCTTATATCTGGACTGATAGCCAGCCATGCACTATACTG